GCAAATAATGAGGACTTACCATTGCCTACCACTATTCATCTGGACCTATATGTTTTATGCAGTTGATGCTATCCCATTACAAGAAAAAGCTAACAGTGATTTACCAAGTAAAAAGATGATGAGTTTGACAAAAGATGATGGTAAAATGCTACATCGCACCAAGCGTGGCTGGATGTGGAATCAGTTCTTTTTGTTGGAAGAGTACACAGGTACAGATACACAATATGTAGGCAAGGTAAGAATTTTTATATGATAATGTAGAGGCTGAAAGTGGTTTATATTTTACAGTGGCTTTTGACATCACTAATGATTATTCAAACAATATTTGACTCATTGCGGTGTGCAAAAGGCATGACATTTCAGTAGGGTACGGTAAGGAATGTGATTTGTTCAGGTAGCTCAATGTAGGTTAGTATTCATAGTATGTCTCAAAAATAAAATTAGTTATATGTAGAATTAATTCATTATTAATCAGGTAGGTATGGTTTTAATTGTATGTGTATGCATCTAAAAGATTAAAAGTTTCTTTGAAATTTAATTTAAAGTCATGAGTAAATAATAACTAGTGTGCTATAGGAGGCAATACAAAGTACAATTATAATATGCCCCAAATTACTAAATTATGTTGGTCTCTACGAATGAATAACTTATTATAATTAAGAGGAGTATGATATGTATAAGTAAAAAATACTTCTAGATGGTTCTATTTCTTTTTTAAAAATATTTTTATTGATTTCAGAGAGGAAGGGAGAGGGAGAGAGAGAGATAGAAACATCAGTGATGAGAGATAATTATTGATCGGCTGCCTCCTGCAGGTCCCACACTGGGGCTCAAGCCCACCACCCAGCACGTGTCCTGACCAGGAGTTGAACCATCACCGCCTGGTTCATAGGTGGACACTCAGCCACTGAGCCACTCCCAGTGGGCGCTTCTACTTCTTGATCTCAGTCAAACTGAACAAACACCTGCCTACAATTCAGACCCACGGGTTTGAGGAAAAAGAATAAAAGATGTAGAAGAAAGAAACTACCTTGAGAAAGCTTTAATAGCATTCTAGTAGCAGGACGATGTTGCTCATTCGCCTGAAGTACTTTGTAGCTGCTGCTCGTTAGCAGCCGGGAGCAAATGTCAATGGAAAATACTTAATACTTCTTGCATTCAATTTTCAGCAAACATTCATTCAACCTCCCCCCTCTCCTCTGTGTCACAGATTATGTGACATGACCTTTCTGCTATCCAAAGTTTTCTATTTATCTATCTTCCCCTCACCAATCTCATTTATGCTGTCTTATATACCAGCAAGTCCTGTGTTCTCTGTGCTTTACCCTGCCCCTATTTATGCCCAATCATTCCAAATCATGAGAATAAAAAATAAACAATTATGAATACTAACATTGTCCATAGAAACATATATTTTTCTTGGTTCTTGGCATATGATACTAGAAGTGATTGCAATGAAATTAGTATTGTTTAGTTTACTGCAACATCAGTCAAATTAGAAGAGGCCAAAAATATAAACAAAAAGGTACCTGATATCACAAAAGTTATGCCTATTGTGAAATTTCCAAAATCTTGACCAGATTCTTCTTTTGTGTGTGTGATATTATGTTTTTCCAAATGCAGCCTATTTTATCAAAAGCCTATTCCTTTCACTTTCTTTGAAATATCTGTCCTCTGGTTCCATAGGTCATGCGCATTTTGCCCCATACGGTTCACCTGGTGACTCTTTTTTATCTCTTATTTCTCTTCCGGTTAGTCAAATGGCATCCCACAGCATCCCTCACTTAACATCACTTTTCATTCCATAGTTAATAACTAGCATCGTGATATTTCAAGTTCAACTGACAAATGTTTGTATCTAAGAACTTGAAATTGCTTTGATTCTTTTTCTCAAGCTGTGTATAAAGGGCACATTCAGTTTATGGGGCCTTATATAAAAGGTTTCATCCTGGGAGATTCACAGATACAGAAGCATAACAACAGAAAAAAAGAGATACTTGTAATCTTAAGGCAACCAAGGCTCCACTACAAGCATTTATTTTTTGGCTGTAAACAAAAATTCTTTCTCATAAAAATTGAGTGTGTATTGATTAATTGACTACTATTACTGCACATACATTTTATTTTTTATTAAAATTATTGAGGTTACATTGATTAAAAGAACCATATAGGTTTCAAACATACATTTCTATGCTACATGATCTGTATATTAGATTCTTTGTCCACCATAGATTCTTACTCAGCCATAAGAAAAGATGAATTACTGATATTTACATCAACATGGATGGATGGACCTTGACAATATTATTCTGACAATTTAAAACATACATATGCTTTAGATCTTTCTGTACCATTTTGAATTAGTTCTGTAATTTGGCAATGATAGCTACTAACAGTGTGTGTAGTTTTAACTACTTTTCATAAACTGTTATCACTTCTTTTGAGAGAAAAAAAACACAACTATTTTTTTTTAGCTATAGACAAGGTAAGGTGTTCAGTTTCCTTTGCCTATTTATTTTTGATATGAGTCAAGATGGAAAACCCATATATGGTATTCAGAATTTCTCTCAAATGAAGATAATCACATCAAATCTGTGTGTCAATTATTTTATAGTATTTATGGAAAACAATATG